GAAGGGTTTGTGGTAGGAACTGTGGGAGAATAAAAAGAAGCGGGACAAGGGTGAGAAGGCAGCTTCTCCATGCCTTCATCCATGTCTTCATGGAGTTTACCAACCAGTTGGGGAAATTACATAATCATGTATGCGTTGGTCTTTTTTGATTGTGAGAGATATCCAACTAAGCTTAGGGCACAAAGGGCTTGTAGCACCCAAAGACTGGGAAGTAGGTGGACATTAGGTGCAGCTAAAACCAGGAACTGACAACCAGCAGGACCCAATATCTTATCTCTTTCTCTGCATGGCTACGGACAGCTGCTGCATGTTACAACTTAGCTTCACTAACCTGGAGAGGCATTGGCCTGACTCTCAGTCCCAAGTCTACACCCCTGGGACTTGACTCACATTAATATGTGTTCTACAATAGTCCTTTAAAAGCGTGTGTGGGGACAGACTTGCCAGGCAAACAAAACAAGTGTCCAGTACACTTGTCAGCACTGGAGAACAGTGAGGTACAGAAGTAATGACTGAAGGAATCATACAGAATGTTGCCATACCCCAGCCAAATAAAAGCTGGGCCCTTGGAGCAGCCTCTTTGCAGAGTTTAGGCTTCTCACCATATGTGGAGTGTGGAGGTGGTTAGGACGAAATAAGGCAGTGCATATAGGGTGCTTAAAACACAGAGCATCACTGCCTACCCCATACCTCAACAAGCAGCAAGCCTGCGGGAAGTTTAGTTTCATCTATGGTGTTTGAGAGACTGAGATGGAGTGATGTCCTCAACTCTATTTATTTATTTATTTATAATTTATTTTAATTACAGCTGACATACAAGATTAGCTTCAGGTGTATAACACTGTGATTAGACATTTATATACTTTACAAAGTGATCACCACAATAAGTCTAGTACCCATCTGTTGCCATACATGGTTATTACAATATAATTATTATACTTATATTCCCTATGATGTACATTACATTTCTCTAATTTTATAACTGGAAGTTTGTACTTCTTAATCCCCTACCCCTTTTCCACCCAACCCCCTATTCCCTCCCCTCTGACAACCATCAGTTTGTTGTCTATATCTATGAGTGTCTGTTTCCTTTTGTTCGTTGTTTTGTTTTTATGGTTTCACATATAAGTGAAATAAAACAGTATTTGTCATTCTCTGCCCATCTTATTTAATATAATACTCTCTAGGTCTATCCATGTTGTTGCAAATGGCAAGATTTCATTCATTTTTATGGCTGAGTAATATTCCATTCCTACCATATCTTGGCTATTATAAACAATGCTGCAATACACATGGATGGTGGGGGGAAGGGAGGTAGGTTGGAAGTGGGCGGGCATGTATCTTTTTGAATTAGTGTTTTTGTTGTCCTTGGATAAATACCCAGGAGTGGATTTGCTGGGCTGTCTTCTTCAACTCGTAAGATCCATGACAGAGGGATTTCTAACATGTATTTGGCAGTTGCTTTCGTTGCAGCTCAGAGGGCTGTGCCCAGCATCCAGAGAAGGTTTTCAAGGATTATAAAATAAAGGACTATGCTGAGGAAATGGTTTGAAATTAACAGTGCCAATTTGCTTCCCAAGTAGGAAGTGAGCACCTTATTTCTGAGACGCCGAAAATAGGAAATATTATTTTTTCTAACCACCAATAATTGCCTTGATGAGGTAGACACAGGATTGTGGCTCCTGGTTGTTTTATTTGTTTCCTAATCATTCTAATTTAGTCTTGAAATTACACGAATAATTTCTTAGATTTTTTTTTCTGTTATCATTTATGATCCTGTCAATTCTGTTTAACTCTATCAGAGTGGTAATAACTGTGGCCAAGTACCTAAAAGTGTATGGTCTTTTTTCCCATCAGTGATATTTGAACACACGCACACACACACACACACACACACACACACACACACACACACACACTTAAAATAATTTGATTCCATCACTTAAACTACCTAAAATAATTCCTAAATACTTGAAAACATGAAACTATCTCCATCAAGCTCCTATCTCTATCAGACGGAAATATTTTTAAAGCAGATTTTAAAGAATAAACTACATTAAACCCCTTACTGGAAAAAAAGTCACTTCTGGACAGTGACCAAGCCAAAGCAATTTTAGTTCAAATTGGTTTTCCTGGAAAAGCTAAAAATGTAGTTCAGAAAAGAAATGCCTTGGCAACTTTACAAATCAACACTCAAAAACTAACAAGGTCGGTCTACATATCCTCCCCTTGAGTGATTCTGAAGTGCTAGCATTAAAAGAATCTCCTAGGACACTTGTCAAAACGCAGATTCCCAGGCCCAGTCAGTAACTCCGACCCAGACCCAGGTGAGTTGAAGAGCACATCAATGGTTCTTAAGCTTTTTGAGATTATAGACTCCTTTAAGAGGCTAATAAAATTATTTAATCTTTTCTCCAGAAAGATGCACAAATACATACCTTTTTGTATACTAATTTAAGGACGGTCATACTTCCCTTAAAATGCTTACAGGAACTTTTGTGGCAGTAAGTCTCAGAGCTGGAGAGTTGGGCTTGTCTTTATGTTTCATGAGCCCCACAACCCACAATTCAGATTTGTTCCAATGAGGGGCATGATCCTTTATGGCCCCAAGTCTCACCCTATGGGAATCACGTGTCACTAATACACATAACACACTTCTTATATGCTGGCCACTTCATGAAATGATTTAAATAAATTTAATCATTGTAAGACCCCCTTAGAGGCAGATGACATATCTTCACTTTACAAACAAGAAAACTGAGGTGTGTAAAGGGGAAATAGCTTGCCTAAGGTCACATGCTAATAACAAACAGGTCCTGGGTTTGACCCTGAGCTCTCCCTCCCCCCCAATTATATTAGTCTCTTTTCATTCTTTTAGTAATGTCTTCCAGAGTTAACTAATTCCATTTGTAGGTGATGAAAGGTCTAAGGAATCCACTCCAAATGTTGGCTGTGCTGTGAGCATGGTCTTTTCCTTCACTTCAGCTCTGAATTGAGACTTTTGATCCTTGTTTTTTCTATTCCAGTCTCAGAAGTAGTTTTCGCTGTAGAAGTTATCTGAAGACAGCCTGATGCTTTATGGTAGTGGTCTACCAGGCTCTAGCTTCTCCAGGAATACGACACAGGATGGATTTAATATGTATTAAACTAAGAGGCATTCTCTCAAATGAGTTTAAATGCATTTTATTTTTAGACACCCTACATGACATGTTTTTCTTAACAACAATGCCTCCACTCCAAATAAATCAAGATCAAGATAAACGAAAAGCTCAAGGTAACATCAGTCCCATCTGTCCTAGTCCTGGTGTGTGGATGAAAAGCAGCAGCCAGTTATGATGATGACAGGTGACGGATCCCAACAGCCAACTGTGTTAACATCTTTCCATTTCTAAACCATCCTTGAAGAAAATCATTTATGGGGTCACAGCATCCTCACGGTAGTCCAGCAGAGCAACCGTGCCATCTGGATTCATGTTTTCACCAATAACGGACTGGTAGTTTTTGAAATTAGCAAGGATGTGCTTGATTTGTTCTGTAGTTGCTTGTCTTTGTTCTTCACATTTCCCTTTGATTGGTTTCATGTAATCCTTGATGTACTTCTTGAAGGCTTCTTTTGTGAAGCTGGTTTCCTGCAAATGATGGTTCATGACAATATTAACACCAGCGGCTATGGTGCTTTTAGTACCTTCGCCCTCGAGGCCTTCAGCGGAGGTATTTCCACCAATGAGCAAGTCTTCAATGTTACCGTCTGTCCTACTGACTATCTTCTCCTCTGCCCCCAAGCACAGCCCATCTGTGATCTCCCGGATCTCGTAGATGTCAGAGAACATCTCATCATGGCTGATGAAGTCTGGGTGGGTGATGATGATGATAGGTGGGAGGAGACCACGCGGGGCTGGCTTAGCAGGAGCTCGGAGCCAGTGCGATGCAGCCTGAGCCCCGCTCGGAGGGAAGGGGGAGCAGGCAGAAAAGGGAGCCTGAGCTCTTAACCTCTCTGGCAGAGTTCTTCAGTCTTGGCACTGGTGACATTTGGGGCTGGATAGTTCTTTGTTGTTAGGGTCTGTCCTATGCACTGCAAGATGTTTAGCAGCATCCTTGGCCTCTACCCATGAGATGCCAATACCACTCTTCCACTCAAGTTGTGACAACCAAAAATGTCTCCAGACATTGCCAAATGTACCCTGGATGAGAACCACACTCAAGGATGAGATACACTCCTTGATGGCACTACCTAGTGAGCTGCTGTCACTGAGGGGAGGCTAGGGACTCTCTCAAGTCTCATGGGGCAGGAGCCACGCTGGGAGCCATCATTCCAAGATCTCACACACCGGAGGTAAAGGGCTTCAGGACGGAACGCACCACAGTTCCTTTCCAGCTTCCTGCTTCTCTAAATTCATCATTTCTAAAAGCTCTACCAGTGAGCTTTCTTAGAATGCAAATGCTTACATGAAGGTGAATTACTCCTAAATTTGCCTATAAAACAACACAACGCTGTTGTTCATTTGAAAACCATCTTCTGCAGTCCAAACAGGCCCACACCGACAAGATTCTCAGTTGTGTTACCTCTGAGAGTCCAAGACCTGAGGAAAGAGAGCTGGAATGGGACTGCTGCCAGTCTCAGGGTTGTGCTACCAGCAGACAGGAAACGAGCAATTGGTCACTGCACTCACCCTTTGGTTTCCCGAAGTGTGGGAGACAGTTGCTATGTCATGTGTTAGTGGATTATGAAACTGAGAACTAGGAAAGTCCACACTGGATCCTGTCAGGGTGGGTGTGGGGTTGTGTGGGTGTGTGGGGGGGTTGTGAATAAAAGCTCGATTTAAAAATAATTTGGTGGCATAAAGTTTGAGGATGTGGTTACATGAAGTTTTTAAAGCATTTTAGAAAAATCAGTAATAACAATCTTTGCTGTACAACTCTGATGGTGGTTGTATCTCTAGAGAAGATCATTAAGATGGAAATCTCCATGCCACCTATCAAAGGTAATAAAGAGACCTATCTGGTCAGCAAATGTTTAAGTATTTACAATGTGTCAGGCACTCTGATCAAAAGGAGAGCCTTGCCCTTGATTAGCTTACCGTGTGAAGAGGGAATGAGCACAAGCCTGGCCTTGGCAGGGACATACTCAGGTGTGCTGGGGGCACACAGGCTGGGCAACACATAACGGGGATCAAGAAAGACTCCATGCAGGAGGCGAAGTCTGGGTCCAGACCCGGAGATGAGAGGACTTCGCTGGGCTTAAGTGGGGGCAGACTGTGGAGGGGTAGCCAAGGGAATAGCATCCACTGAACAAATGGAGGTGCTCGGATGGGAGGGAGAGAAGAGATGAGCACATGTGTGAATGCCAAGTTCACAGTGTGGCTGGAATGGAGTTGGAAGGGCGAGAGATGGGTGGACAGGTGAGGGTGTAAGAGGTCACGTGGACTGTTCTAAGACTTCTGCAGACCTCAACACCTTTGGAGGCCCCATCACACATTTATCAAACATATTAAAATGTATTCTGATCCCATCTTAGAGTAATTTATAAATAAAAAAGAATTGCAGTTTACTATTTAATACCATATGAATTTCTATTTTAAAGTTTTCTTTTTGTACTTCAGAGCCAGTAATTCTTTTTTTCAGATATGAAGCATTTTCAAAGGGTCTTGAAAAGCTGGTATGCTGTAGGCACCATGTGTACAGGGCCCAATTGATAACAATAGCCTTGTTTTAAACTTGCAGGTATAAATCTGATAACTGTCTCCCCCTCCAACCTCTTACTGCCCAGTGTTCATTCTCTCCTTTTTCCTGCCCTTCCTGAGTTTTAGCAGGGCCAGCGAGCACTCAGCTAGGCTGGTCCCAGCTTTTCTTACAGCAAGGAACAGTTATGTGACTAAAGTTTTGGCCCTTGGTGTGTGTACAGAAGTGATATGTGAAAATTTCAGGTCACATCCTTGAAAAGGAAGCCAGCGGCCCCCACTTCCTTCTTCTGTGCCCATCTCTGTGGGCTGGAATGTGGATGTAGTGGTGGTGAAATGATGTCAGCCACGTAGAGAAGGACAACATCCTAGGGCAGCGGTTCTTAAACTTTGGCATGCATCAGAGTCACCTGGAGGTCTTGTTAAGACAAACGTTAGGCCCCATCACCAGAAATCTGACTCAGTGGGTCTGAATCATTTCTAACAAGTTTCCAAGTGATTCTGGTGCTGCAGTCAGGGTCACTGCGTGGAAACTTCTTGGCAAGAGAAAATAATCCATCACGGCCAGTTGGTGGATGCCCAGCTTACAACCCAGGCATCCTGAAACCCCACCTAGCATTTTTTCCATAATGTCGCATTACCATATTTCATATTGAGTTAAATTTTCTAATGAATGATTTTTCCCGGTGAAAAGTGATTTATTGTGGGGGATGACTTTTGTGCAAAATTTCCCACATGGAATGGTTCAATGAGTTCTTGCGCCCAAGAATTGCAAATCTCTAAGATGAACCACAAGATAAAAAGTTCTGAAGTGAAGAGCGATTGTTATCGTTTATTCGTTTATTTTGTGGATTATTCGGGTTCCTTGCTTTCTCCTGACACCCACTTTTAACCTTCTGATGGGTTTATTTTTACCCTCTAACCATTTCATTACTGAAACATAAACCAAACTCTGGAAAGGAATATGGTGATGAGCAAAAAAACCAAAATTATGATTTAAATTGAGACTTCAGGGTTTTCTGTGGATTACCATGTCCCACCTTATCAAAGAAAAAAATGAACTTTAATTAGAATATAAAGCAATTCTTTCTGAAAATGTGGGATGGAAGAGGTCAGTCTTGGGTATTGGGAGTATGATTTATCCCTCAGAAAAATCTTCACCCCAGATAAGACTGGGATGAAAGACCTTGGGGGTTTATCAAATTTTACTCTAGCATTGGTGGGAGAAAAAAAAGGGAAGAAAAATGAAGCAGGGTGAAAAATCAGGTGATTGAGAGGAAGAGAGAAAAGACAAGGCAGAGAAACTTGTTAATTACAGGACTTTCTGAGCAAGATATTTTTCTTCCTTTCACAAGTTAGAAGCTGTTGAATAATTCATGCTAAGCGTGGAAAGGCTGCCTTTTCCCTGGGTGATGTATCACTGAGCAGGAAAGAGCTGAGAGTGGGTTCACCACATCAGCCACCCCTCTTGCTTCTGAGCACAGGGTGGGTGCTCTTCTCTGGAGCTCAGCTTCTGCTTTTGCAGCTAAGCATCCTTGCTGCCTGCCTGCCTGCCTGCCTGCCTGCCCACCGTCTGGGCTTGCAGCCTGCCACTTTCCTTTCCCCAGCCCTGCTGCCAGCTGAGAAGCCTCCCAGCAGCTGCTGGTTTCTGCCAAGGACCATGTGTGTGGATGCTGCCTGGGAGAAGCGGGCACTTGCTCCTGGCACTCATCCCAGCTGAGTTTCTCCTGTTGATTTCGGGACCACAGATGCTGCTGCAGAGGAAGTATTTCCTGGCATCCCTCCCTCTGCTACCGCCAGCTTAGGACCGGCCCCAAAGTAAGGTACTCCCAAGCCCTTTCCCCTGGCATTTCCCCCAGCTGGGGTATCCCTGCTTTCTCTTGGAAACTAGGGGCTCCATCTGGCAACATTCCCGTGTGTGTGTGTGTGTGTGTGTGTGTGTGTGTGTGTGTGT